TCTTGCCAGTGAGTCGTGTCTGGGCTTTCAGCCAACAGGATTATAATTGCTGTGAATGAAGAGTGGCAAACAGCTAAACCTGTGTCTGTGTTCATTACCGGACGGACGGATGGGGGGGGGGGCAGAACAGTTTATTAAGCCTATGAATGCTATGCTCTAATGGGCTCTGACACCATGCTAAAAGCAAAATAAACAAGCCACATTTTGTTATGCAACAGATCTGTGTGGGGTTATGTTAAGGCTGTAAAATATTGTATAATTGGATATTATTGAAATGTCATATTGAGGAATACATTTATGGTTTTCTCTATCATCTCCTTTTTATGACCCCATAATCCCTTGCGGGGTGGAGTCTGGGCAACTGAATGGAGCAGAGTGGCCGGATGCCCTTCCTGTCACCAATGTGGAATTTAATTCAGCAGATCAATTCTCATTGTGCCCAGAGAGAGAAATACCTGCCTCTACCTAGGATCGAACTGACAGCCTCCTGATTGTGAGGCAAGAACTCCACCTCTAGGCCACCGCACCATTTATGGGTTTCTCTATATTTGTTGGAATTAGATTCAGGCATATTTTTCTTGGCTGACTTGGAGTTAGGTCAGCAAATAAGGATATGGGTGGGGGAAAGGTTAGAAATAATAATAAAAAAAGAAATTAGAAAGCTCTAAATTGAGCTGCATAACACTTGGGGTATGTGTGTGAAGTGGACAGTGGAAATAACCACGAGCAACAGGAGGAAATCCAAGGCAGAAATGTAATTTGAATAAGCATCTCCGAAATAACTAGTTGTCATGAAAATATAGCCAATGAGGCAGCTTCGGACTTTCATGATTCTGGAACCTTATAATAAAGTAGTATTAGCATTTACTGAGTCCTGGTGACTTAGTGGTTAAACTGCAGAATTGCAGGTGAACTCTGCCCACAGCCTTGAATTCGATCCTGATGGGGTTAAAGGTTGACTCAGCTGTCCATCCTTCCAAGGTCGGTAAAATGAGGACCCAGATTGTTGGGTGCAATAGGCTGACATTGTAAAGCACCTAGAGACTGCTGTAAGGCACTATGGGATGGTAAGGTAAAGGTTCCCCTCACACATATGTGCTAGTCGTTCCTGACTGCAGGGGCCAGTGTTCTTCTCCGTTTCAAAGCCGAAGATACAGCGCCGTCCGAAGATGCCAAAGATGCATGGAACGCTGTTACCATCTCACCAAAGGTGGTTCCTATTTTTCTACTTGCATTTTAAATGCTTTCAAACTGCTGGGTTGGCAGAAACTGGGACAAGTAATGGGAGCTCACTCCATTACGCAATGCTAGGGATTCGAACTCCCAAACTGCCGGCCTTTCTGATCGACAAGTTCAGCATCTTAGCCACTGAGCCACCGCGTCCCTCTAGTCTTTA